ACCACCTATTTCTAGTCATTCCATAATAGTATTTATGAAAGGAAAGATTTGAAATATTAAAACTATCATAAACACCAGGTTTCCGATTTTGGAAATGAAAATTCTGTGTATCGTTTGCCAATATATAGATCAAGTTTAATCAGGTTGCTGAGAAAATGTCCTGGGACTTGAGGCATCTTTGCCTTGACGAGGGTGGCTATGTAAACTGCGAATAATTTAGTCCACACACCACCCAAGAAGTCAGCCTTTAATTAAAGAGCAAATCTTGGAGTCTTATTAAGGCAACTTTTCTAGTTAAAAAAAAAAAAAAAAAGCAATGACCAGGAATTAGGGGGCCTGGTCTAACTGTTATTCATTATGTGTGTAACCCGGTGGAGCTACTACCACAACCTCAGTTTACTGGCGGTAAAATCAGGGGATAATAACTGCCTCACTCATAAAGAATGATACTCTGAGGGAGGAAGCTGGAGTGCTGCCCTCCACAACTTACACACTGTGACAGGCCATTGAGTGGGAGGTTATTTCTTCAAATAGAATGGGTTTGGAAAATAAATCTGTTATTTACTTTCAGATATTGAGTGAAATATAGAATCTTGTTTCCAACTAAAACAGAGGAAAAATCAAACTTTCAACTGTCATCGAAATGTACTGCGCTTACCTACGGTTATTTTTAGTTGAGGAAACCAGTCACTTGTAAATGCACTTAAAATATGGCAGATCCCAAATTGTGGTGAGCATCTTCAAAGTGTTGTGTTAAAAGCAGGAATCATGTGTTCCCTTTTTGTCACTTTTTATTCAGTCTCTTCAACTAAAGTCTTAGCTGGAAGGAATTTGGGCATTGAGGTGCACTCAGGGAAGTTCTGGTTCAGAGAAGATGTGAGTCTCTCAGAGAAGAAATGAAGGCCGAGTCTGGCCTACCGTGGTCATGTCAAAAGCCATGCAAAGAAACATTCAGTTACCCGTGCTGTTGGAGGGCACCCAGCTATCCCTTACCAGCAGCAACCAGTCACCAGATGATGGACATGAAGCAGAAGACCACCTCCTGTGTTGGTACTTCTTCCTTTCTCTTTCTCTTCAGAATTGCCACCAGTGAGGAACCCAACCCCACATTTTCCAGACATTTCTCTGACTCTCTGCTGGTGAGTGAGAGCCATATGGATCCATGCCTGCAGCCTGAGGTTTCACTTGATGAGGACCCTCTTCAAAGGATGGGATAGGGGAATAGGAGGGAGAGGAAAGGGAAGGCTCTCCATACCCTGCAGAATCTGCCACAGGCCCCCAAGGCAACTGGGCCTGGGTTTGATGCCTACTCTCTCTGGGGGATGCTGGTCAGACCCAAGAGGGCTGTCAGGAGGGTCTGCAGACTGGGACAGTGGGCAACCTGGGCAGGGCGACAGGGGCCACCACCACCTTCCAGAAGATGCCTCTGCCTGGGCGCATCTTTTAATAAAACAATGCTTGGCAGCCTGTAGGCTGGGCAAGGCACCCCGGATGATAGAAGGCCATGGGGACACCAGGTTGTTTAGCTCAGACAGGGAAGAGGTCGGGAAGCCATTAATGATAAGCAGGCAGCACTGCTCTTGGTTTTAGATTAAAGGATGAATAAAGAGAACGGTACTACAGAAGGAGTTGGTTTTAACTTATATGGAAGGACTTCCTAACCCTGAAAGAGTTGATGACTCATGGTGTGGCTTTCTAGACACCCTCTGAAAGATTTGAAGTAGTAGTTGTTTGTGCAGAAAAAGAGATAAAGGTGTTTTATTGCGTTGTGGAAACATCCATGTCTTGCCGCTGTCTCTTGAGGGCGCAGCATTCTGGTGGAAGATCAGAACTACGTAATGTCTCCCTAGCTGCCACCAAATGAACGGTCATCAACTCAATGGACCAAATACACCCTTCTACCAGCTGCATGTGGTTTCTTCATCTATCACATGAATTTCTTTAGGTTCGACAGATGTATGACTCTCCAGATGTAAAAAGACCACACTGGAAATGAACCTTTGTAAGTGGTAGAAGTTAATTTGGTATTTGGTTGAAAACTATATTTATAGTTTCTCTTTCTCTGTTGCAATGAATATCAAGGAGTTTGGACTCCAGTGTGTAACTTGTGCACGAATATTATGCTTGTTGACTAGTATGTGTAACCGATTTTACAGGGAATTAGATCCTATCAGTTTTCATCTAGGCAGAAGACCTTTGTACAGTGGAGGTGTTCTTTCAAGGTTCTCTCTCACTTTGGTAGGTGAAGAGTTGGCCCTAAAACTTCATTGAATGTTGCATTCCTTAGCCTCTTAAAACATATCAGTATTCACAATGGCCTTGCTCCTTGGAGTAAGACTCCATCACGCCTTTGAAATGGAAGGGAGCATTTCTTGACCATTTCCATCTCCCTAGGACCACACCTGTTTTTAATACAAGATGGTTTCCAAAATATTTAGCTGCTGGTACAGGATGGACACCAACCACTCCCAGGCGGATGCCTGCAGCAAGCAAGCGGTGTGCAAGGCGAGTGCCAGTGCCTCATGACCTGCTACTTGTGGACATTAAGTGACATCCAGGTGTAGGTGTGCTCCCTGGTTTGTGCTTCCGCTCACAAGCTGTTTGATCCAGAGCCTTGGCTTCCCTTTATATAGTGCAGACAAGGAACAGGCATGCATCTTTGAACTATACAGGCATTAAAATCTTGAACCAACTTCATTTGATCACTTTTAGGAGAAACAATGTAATCATTGTGCCCATTTGCCACCTAGTGTTGAAAAATCAAAAGTGTCAATGGGGAAAGCTTTCCTGCTAGGCTGACTTTCCCTACACTCTCTCGGCAGCTTCCTTGAGCTTACCTCCTCCTTTTTCAGCTTCTCGTCCCCTGAGAACACTCCCACTTTCTTCCTCCATCTTGTCCCTCCATCTTTTCCTGCCACCTCTGTGTAGGAAGGTTGGTGGCTGCTTCTCCCATCCCCCTAGTCTCCAGCACAGCTGGAAGATAATGATAGGGAAAGGCCCATGCATTACAACGTGGTGGCGATATCAGAAAAAATCTCTCCTATTTCATCATTGATGTCTCTGTGCCTTCCTTGGCTAGCCCAGGCTCTCGAGCAAAAGCTCTGTCTTTGGGAACCTCTCGGTTTGGCTTGCCCTTTCAAGCAGACGCCAGCAATGCACGTGGCAAAAAAAATCAACTGAGCCACCCAGGTGCCCCAGTAGTGATATGTTTTAAGAAGAAAGTAAGGGGTGAGGGAGTTACTCTATTTAGGGTGATCAGGGAGGACTCTAAGGACACATCCTAGCTGAAATCTGAATAAAGTGAGGGCAAGTCGTGAGACTATCTGGGAGTAGGAACATTCTAGGCCAGGGGCATGGCAAATGCCAAGGTTTTGAAGCAGGAATGAGCTCAGTGTGCTTAAGGAATACAAGAAAGCCAGGGAGCCTGTAAGGGAGAGAGGTAGCAGGACACTAGTTAGAAGTCTGTGACAATAGCTCAAGCAAGAGGTGAAGGTGGCCTACATTAGGGGAGAAGTGGTGAAGTGGCTGGTTTGGGACTTATTTGGAAGACAGAGTTGACAGGCTTTGCTAATGGATAGCAAGCATGAGAGGAATCAAGGACAACTCTTAGATTTTTGGCATGAACAGTTGTTTGAGCGGTCACGCTACTTATGAAGCAGGTTTGGGAGAAAAACCAAGGCGTCTCTTTGGGATGTTAAGTTTGAAGTGGCTGGTAAACATTCTACTCCATATTTTTGCAAAGTTTCTGAAGTAAACATGTATTTTTTTAAATTATTTTTTCACATTTAATGTTTACTCATTTTTGAGAGGCAGAGAGAGACAGAGCATGAGCGGGGAAAGGGCAGAGAGAGAGAAAAGGAGAGACAGAATCTGAAGCAGGCTCCAGGCTCCGAGCTGTCAGCTCAGAGCTGACGCAAGGCTCAAACTCACAAACTGGGAAATCACGACCCGAGCCGAAGTTGGACGCTTAACCAACTGAGCCACCCAGGCGCCCCAATATGTATTTGTTAATACATGGTTTACTTTATAAAGTTATTTTGAAAATGAAATGAAAGAAAAATAATGAAGACTTCACCCCAAAATTTCACATCAGCATCCAATATTTATGTTCATTTCTTTATGTTCTCTTTACGTCCTTAACATAGTTTTCATGTAACTGTAGTAATTGTTTATTTGTGTGGGGGAGGTGTTTTTTTCTGATTTTTTTCTTCTCATCTTGATTTCATGACACTTTCATGTTTCTATGTGTCTATATAATAGATAATCATATTTATTGTTTTAATGGCTGCATAATATTCTATAGTATTTTCTCATAATTAATTTAAACTTTCTTCCCTTGTGAAAATTTACAGTTGTTTTAGGATATATTATTAAATATACTACTTCAAACATCTTTTTATGTATTTTTTTCTCTGTAATTTTCTTTAAATTAGTGGGATTCTTTTTTAAGACAACATTTTGTTATAGAACATTCAAATAAATGCAAAAGTAGAAAGAACAGTCAGTATTCATATTTCCCAATTGCCTTATTATTTTTTTAAATAATCTGTTTGACTCAGGATTCAAATAAGGCCTAAATATTGCAGCGGTTGATATGTTCCTCAAATTTCTTTAGGGGTCCCTTTCTATCTTTTTTTTCTTTTTGTTGAAGAAACTAGGCCTCTGACCTGTAGGATTTCCCACCATTTAGATTTTACTACCTATGTCCCTTGGTGTCATTTAACATGTTCTTCTGTCCCCTATGTTTCTAGTAAATTGGTAGTTGGATCTAGAGGCTTATTCTGATTCATTTTCTTTCTTCTTCTAAAAAACACTATTCCGCAGGTACAAATATCTGGTTGTCTTTTTTTTGTGATGAGTCAGATCTATGAAAGAACATAATTACACTCTTTCATAATAAATGTGAGAGAAATTAGGTAGAAATTGTGGTAAGAGAAAAATGGGTGGTGTAGACTCATGGTTTTCCTTGGTCTCAGATGTAATGTCTTCTTCTCTTGCAGGAGGCTGAGAAGATGCTAGAAATGGGGGGAGACAAGTTCCCCTTAGAGAGCAGGAAGTTACTAAGTAGTCCTGGAAAGAACAACAGTTTCAGGTAAAACTCCCCAAACTCCACAAGGAGTTGACTGTTGTTTTGGTTGTTCTAGAAACAATCTGGCTTTGTGGTGGGGGGTGGTCACAAATGCGATCACTGGTATAAAGAGCTAATGTTGAGCCTCTCCATTCCAAGCTGGGAAAACACCTTTTCCTTCCATGCTTTACTGAGCACCTGCTAGACGCCAGGTACCACCCCAGATGCTGGGAAAGGAGAACAGAGGTAAGGGAGCCCACATACTGAGCGTCTTCTCTGTGCTAGGACTGTGCTGGAAGCTTTACTTATGTATTCTCATTTGATCTTTGCAGCAGCTCTCTGATAAAAGCCTCATTATCCACATTTGTCCAATGAGGAAACTGAGGCTTGGATGGCTTTAGGTAATTTCCCCAAGGTCACAATGCTGCTAAGTAGAAAGTTTAAGAGACAAACCCTAGTCTTTGTATTCATCAGATCAGTGCTCCCTCTGCCTTTCTCTGCCATTTTCCAGAGATGAATAGGATATGGCCTTTGTTTCCAGAGAGTCCTCAGCCTGGGGGGTGTGGAATTCCCATGCTTGGGCAAGCCTTTGTCGAGGGGCAGAGGCAGCCCCTTCAGTTTGACTCATGGCATCTGTGGTCCTAGAAGCCAAGGGGGAACCAAACTGGGGTCCCCCAAATTCCTTAATTTCTGCCAAGGCTCTTAGCTGCCTTCTCTAGCTAAGCTATTGCTCACCACGGGACACGGGACACTAAATTGGTCCGTTAGTGGTTTTATTCCCGGCATTTTGTTTCCACTGTGGAAGAGGTACACATAAGCTGAAAGAAGCCCAGAGGCTGAGAGGGGGCAGAAAAGGAAGAGAGAGGGGATCTTGGTCATCTAGATCCTGGATAATTTATTGCCAAATCATTGAATCCATTGTGGTTTATACTGAGGGGAAGATGGGGAAAGTCACGTCGTTGGGATTTTTTTTTCAATTTTGATTTATTTACTTTTTACAAATAAAAAAATATATTTAAGGTGCACGACATGGTGTTTTGATATCTGGACACATTGTGAAATGGTTACTGTCATCAAAGTAATAACATATTCATTACCTCTTATAGTTATCATTCCTTATTTTGTGGTGAGAACACTTGACATCTACTTTCTTAGCAGATTTCAAGTATACAGTACATTACTATCAACTATGGTCACCATGCTGTATACAGGTCTTTAAAAATTATTCACCTTATAACTGCAAATTTATACCCTTTGATCACTATCTCCCCTTCCACCCCACCTGCCCAGCCTCTGGTGACCACCAGTCCACTGTCTGTTCCTAGGAGTTTGACTTTAAAAAAAAATTTTTTTTATGTTTATTTATTTTTGAGAGAGAGAGAGAGAGACAGACAGGCAGAGTGCTAGAAGGGGACGGGTAGAAAGAGAGAGAGAGGGACACACAGAATCCGAAGCAGGCTCCAGGCTCTGAGCTGTCAGCACAGAGCCCGACATGGGGCTCAAACTCAGGAGCTATGAGATCATGACCTGAGCTGAAGTCGGATGCCGAACCAACTGAGGCACCCAGGCGCCCCATCTTTTGGCCCTTTAAAAAGAGACTGGCTTGTAGAAAATTTCCTAGTACTCTGGGCTTCTAGGAGACCAAGGACTCGATTCAAGGCCTTGATTGTCCTCTTACTGACGTTTGACCTTGGGTGATCACTTAGTTCTGAGAGCTTTGGTTTCCGTACCTTCAAAATGAGGATGTTAATCATCTCTGATTGATAGTGAAGATATTGTAACGAGTGCTTTGTTAACTACAAATGGCAAGCATTTGGCCATGTAAGTGAGAAAACCAACGAAGACTGCTTAGCCCCATGCCCAGCACACAGCGAGCCTAGCACACAGCGAGCGTTCAGTAGGGGGTGGCTCCTGAGGCTCCTGTTGACATCATAGCACTGTCAGGGCAGGATGGCGGTGGCACGGCTGCCTGCCACGTGGCACAGCAACCCAGCCCTCAGCACCACCTCGTGGGCCACCTTGCCTCTCTACATTCCAACCACCTGGCTCCTGGTGTTGCTGAGAACTGTTAGCTGAGCCCCCTCAGACCTACTCTTTCCCGCCTGGTGGGGTGTGATCACTATAGACTGAGATACGTATTTTATTTGTGTGTCCTATGTTTATTGTCCTAAGCATTGATTTCAGATGTGACCCCTCTGAGATTAATATATCTGATGAAATGCCTAAAACTACGGTCTGGAAAGCTCTCAGTATGAACTCTGGAAATACAAAGGAGAAGAGGTAAAGAGAACTATAGTTGCTGATTTTTGTGTATTTCGTGCTTTTAAAAATAGCAATCATGTTGAAAGTAAAATATATCTAAGTTGTAAAATTAAATTTGTCTAAAAAATATCCCTTCCGGGACTGGGGCCTAACCCCTGGCGAATTGCTATATGCCTCAGAAAAGGAAAAAAATGTTTTTTTAACTATTTGCACAGATGTGCTGTTTTGAGCTGCCCATTTACACAGCCAGCCCCCAAACCAAGGAGTATGTGGATGCGTACATTGCCTTTCTCTATCTAGTCACCCGAATCCTCTTTCCAAAAGTTCCCATTTCAAAATCTCTTTGGTTACCGGAACCACACAAACTGGAAAATGGCCAGAATGTCCAGAGAGTGTCGATCATGCCAATACAGACTCCACCTATTTCAGTCATTCCATAATGAGAACTGTTGCCAAGGAAAGATTTGAAATATTAAACTATAAACAGGTTTCCGATTTTGGAAATGAAAATTCTGTGTATCGTTTGCCAATAGCATAGATCAAGTTTAATCAGGTTGCTGAAGAAAATGCAAGGACTTGAGGCATCTTTGCCTGCACCGAGCGAGGGTGGCTATGTACCCAAACTACTTGAATAATTTAGTCCACACACCATTTTAAGAAGTCAGCCTTTAATTAAAGGCAAAATCTTAGGTCTTATTAAAGGCAACTTTTCTAGTTAAAAAAAAAAAAAAAAAGCAATAGGCCAGGAATTAGGGGGCCTGGTCTAACTGTTTATTCCGTGTGTAACCCGGTAGGCTACTGTTTCTGGCACTCAGTTTACTGAGCGGTAAAATGGGGATAATAATAACTGCCTCACTCATAAGAATGCTCTGAGGAGGAGCTGAAGTACTTTGAAAAGTCACAGCCACCAGCGGGCGGTAGTGGGAGGTTATTTCTTCATCGAATGGGTTAAAATAAATCTGTGCTGAATGTGAGTGAAATATAGAATCTTGTTTCCTTCAGAGGAAAATCCAGGCAGCTGTCGAAATGTATAACGCACACGGTTATTTTTAGTTGAGAACCAGTCTACTTGTAAATGAACTTAAAATATAGCCAGATCCAAATTGTGGTGACATCTTCAAAGTGTTGTGTTAAAAGCAGGAATGAATCATGTGTTCCCTTTTTGTCTAATTGTAACACTTTTATTCAGTCTCTTCAACTAAAAGTCTTCGCTGGGAAGGAAGATTTGGGCCGTGAGGTGCCTCAGGGAAGTTCTGGTTCCAGAGAAGATGTGAGTCTCTCAGAGAAGAAGCAAGACCGAGTCTGGCCCTGCCCGTGGTCATGTCAAAGCCATGCCGAAGCATTCAGTTACCCGTGCTGTGCATTGGAGGGCACCCAGCTATCCCCATACCAGCAGCCAGTCACCAGATGTGGACATGAAGCAGAAGACCACCTCCTGTTGGTACTTCTTCCTTTCTCTTTCTCTTCAGAATTGCCACCAGTGAAGACCCAGCTTCCCATTTTCCAGACATTTTCTCTGAAACCCTCTGCTGGTGAACAGAGCCATATGGATCCATGCTGCCGCTGAGGGTTCCTTCGATGAGTTCCCTCTTCCTAAAGGATGGGATGGGGGAATAGGAGGAGAGCAGAGAGGAAAGGGAAGGCTCTCCCGCCCTGCAGAATCTGCAGGCCCCCAGGCAGCCCTGGGCCTGGGTTTGATGCCTACTCTGGGGGATGCTGGTCAGACCCAGAGGCTGTCAGGAGGGTCTGCCGTTAGGACAGTCGGCAACCTGGGCATCGGCAGGGGCCCACCACCACAGCCAGAAGATGCCTCTGCCTCGGAAGCATCTTTATCGCTCCCTAGCAGCAGCCTGTGTGACTCGGCAAGAGCCTTGGATGATGAAAGGGCCATGAGGGACACCGGAGTTGTTTAGCTCAGACAGGAAGAAGGTCGGGGGAAATCGATAATGATAAGCGAGGATGAGCAGCTTCTCTTGGTTTCGTTAAGGATAGACCAAGAGAACGAGCTTCGATTGCTACAGAAGGAGTTGGTTTAGACACTAGGAAGGACTTCCTAGCCTGAAGAGTTGTCATGGTGTCGGCTTTCTAGACACCTGCGAAAGGTTTGATGATAGTTGTTTGTGCAGAAAAAGAGATAAGGTGTTTTTACTGGCCACGTTGTGGAAACATCCATGTCTTGCCGCTGTCTCTTGAGGACGCATTCTGATTCCACTCCTGGAGAGATCCAAGTGCTTACGTAATGTCTCCCTAGCTGCCTTAGTAGCGAACGGTCATCAACTCAATGGACCAAAACCACCTTCAGCCATGTGGTTTCTTCATCATCATGAATTTCTTTCGGTTGACAGATGTATGACTCTCAGATGTAAAAGACCACACTGGGAAATGAACTGTAAGTGGTGAGATTAATTTTGGTATTTGGTTGAAAACTATATTTATAGTTTCTCTCTACTTTTCTCTGTTGCAATGAATATCAAGGGTTTGGACTCCAGTGTGTATATCTTCCCTTCCTTTGTGCACAGAATGTGACTAGTAAGCGTGTCGGTACCCAGGGAATTCGATCCTATCAGTTTTCCATCCTGGAAGACCTTTGTACAGTGGGGTGTTCTTTCAGGTTCCTCTCCTTTCGTAGGTGAAGAGTTGGCTACAAAACTTCATTGAATGTTGCATTCCTTAGCCTCTTAAAACATATCAGTGTATTCTGGCCTTGCTCCTTGGAGTAAGACTCCTTACGCCTTTGAAATGGAAGGAATCCCGCATTTCTTGACCATTTCCACATCTCCTAGGACCACACCTGTTTTAATACACAGATGGTTTTCAAAATATTTAACAACTGGTACAGGATGGACACCAACCACTCAGAACGGATGCCTGCTGTAAGCAAGCAGTGTGCAAGGCGGTGCCAGTGCCTCGTGACCAAACATCATGCTACTTGTGGACATTAAAGTGACATCCCGTTGAACTGTGGGTATTGCTCCTGGTTTGTGTAATTTCCGCTCACAAGGCTGTTTGATGCAGAGCCTTGGCTTCCCTTTATATAGTGCAGACAGGAACAGGCATGCATCTTCGAACTATACGGGCATTAAAATCTTGGCGAACCAAAGCTTCACATTTGATCACTTTAGGAGAAATGTAATCATTGTACCCATTTACCCACCTAGTGTAGAAAAATCAAAAGGCAACCTGTCAATGGGGAAAGCTTTCCTGCTGGCTGACTTTCCCTGCCTCTCTCCGGCAGCTTCCTTGAGCTTGCCTCCTCCTTTGGCTTCCTCGTCCCCTGAGAACACTCCCACTTTCTTCCTCCATCTTGTCCCTCCCATCTTTTCCTGCCACCTCTGTGTAGGAAGGTTGGTGGCTGCTTCTCCCATCCCCCTAGTCTCAGCACAGCTGGAAGGAATGTGATAGGGAAGAGCCCATCGTACAACAAATGAGGTGGCGATATCACTCAGAAAAATCTCTCCTATTTCATCGATGTCTCACCATGCCTTCCTTGTGTAGGCTCTCGAGAGCAGAAACCTGTCTTTATTAACTCTGTGCAGTGCAGTTACCGGACCATGTGTGTACTTTCAGGCCTTCCTGAGCCACATCCTCCCAGGTTACTGCGCCTTAGGAACGTTAGTTACTCTGGAAGCCTGGGCCCATCCTTTTAGGCCATTACATCTTTCTCAGATAACAGCCAGCCTCATTTCTGCTACATCTCAGTGGTAGAAACCATTCCCCCCTACTCTCATTGTCTCCCTTTTCCCAACCCCCACCCAACCCTCAACCCCGGTCCTACCTGCATGCTTCCTTGCTCAGGACTGTGGCCGGTGGCTATGGTGGCACAGTCAGTTTGGGCAGTGTTGGGGACAGGAAACTGGGAGTGGAGGTGAAGCAGCAGCAGCAGCGTGTATGTGTGTGTGTGTGTGTGTGCGCGTGTGCATGTGTGTTCATCGACAAATACGAGTGTGTCCATGAGGTGTCACTGCTGCTATTAAATAGTTTTGTGTACCTAAGTTGGGAGGGGGACATCAAAAAAACACGATCATTCCCCCCTCTAGGGGTTCTCTTCTCAGACTCCTCTGATAGAATAGCTTGAGGGCAAATATAGGCAGATTAGTCTATAGGAAAAGATGTTGAAACTCAACGTTAAGTAGAAACTGACGGTTTCTCCTTGGGCCAGAGAAGCAGTCCACCTCTTTTATGACAAGGGAGATTTCAGGAACGGTTTGAGCGTTTGCAGGCTGGTGCCCTGATGGGCTGGTGACGTCAAAGTAGGAAGGGAGGGAAGCCAGGGATTGAAGAAACTGATGGTAAGTGAAATCTTGGTTCTAATGGTAAGAACTGGTGTTGCTGAGTGGTTGGGTTACTTCCTAGCTCATGACCTTTAAGGGAAGGGTTGGTCTAGAGAGAAGGTAAAGCCTAGCAATCTAGTATGAACTTGCCAAATACGTTCGGTTGCATAAAATGCAGGCTAGCTCTTTGTGGCTACATAAGATTTCCAACTTCTGATGACGGGCTTCTCGGGAGATCTGATCTTTACACATACAGCTCCTGTCCCCATCTCCTTAGTCATATAAATTTGCCTTTGGGATAGAGGGGCAGGGAACCATTTATTCCAAAAGATGGTGTGAATAGTTGCTATTTCTCTTTGTCTGGGATGTGATTGGCTTTTAAGTTAGTCACAAATCTTTGGTAAAAATCTGGTAAATGCTAAGTCTCAGGCTTGGTTGACATCTCAGGCTGTGAGAGCTGTGACCTTCAAGAAGTCTCTGTGCTTTCTGGGCATCCAAACAAGACAGTTCCCGAGTCTACTTTATTTTCTACCCACTTCGCTCTCCAGACTTCCCTCTTAGCAGAGGAACCAACGGTTCTCCCTGCGTCTTCTCTATGGACTTTAATGTCTGTGTTCTGAGCCTCTAGGTTTTCCTGAAGCAGGGGAGAAGGTAGGGACCCTGGCTTTCCTTTCAACTGGCATCAGAAGTCCCATCCAGTGTGTCCTCTCTGCTGCTGCTTCAGCCTCCTCATTTCTTCTTCTACAGGAGCGTTAGCACCACCTCCTAGGACTGTTCAGCGGTCTTTGCTGGCTTGTCACTGCGTTTCCCTCGGACTTCTCAGGTTTCCAAGCCACATCCTGGCAGGACATTCAGGAACCCTGCACTGAATGTTCTCAGCCTTCTTGATTTTCTTTTGGTTGTGGCTGTCAGGCCTCCGTGATGTAGAAATCCTTCCTGCGGGCTCTGACTGGCCAAATGAGACATCATCCAAGTTCCGCCCCTTTTACTGACTCAGCTTCCTTGGCTTCCTCACTTTGTCGAGCAGCCTTTCTTCTCCTTTCTGCCTCGGTCTTTCAACTCCTCCTTGGATGGCAGTCAGAGGTCCTAAAACCCACCACCAGTTGGGGGTGGTGAGAGAGGTGAGGATGTTGGGCAGAAAGGGGACTCTCTGTTTTCCTTGCTTGCGCTGAGGGGCTACAGATTCTCAAGCCCTCACACTCATCCATATTTTAATAGAAACAGAAAAAGATATCCCCAAATCAAATCGGAGTGGTTTTTCAACCACATCTACTCTTTTTGATTCTTGGTGCCCTTGTTCTCTTACACGAATTATAGAGAATGGGCAGCTGACTCCGTTAACATTTCTTTGCTAGAAAGGAGGCTGATTTTCATAACCAGAAGAGATGTGAAGGAACTGTATCAGTGCGTGAAGCATGAAAAGAGGAAAGGGGTGTTATGTGGGTCTCTTCAATAGGAAAATTCAGAAAGTGGAATGATTCATCCATAGGCAAAATTCCTCTAGGACGTTCTGTGCTCAAAGGGAACGGAATGGTTTCTGATCCTTCTGAAAAGGAATGGCATTTTTCTTACACCTAACCCACTTTCAGCATTGGAGAGTACAGAAGGCTTTCTTTGAGCTGATGGCGTTAATATTTCGAGAGAGAGAGAGAGAGAGAGAAAAGCTACCCACGGCATGTCTCCAAGCCCGGCAGGAAGTAGCTTGGGCTTCTCTAGCAGGTTTGCAACGGACCCCAACGTGCAGGTTTTCGTACATGCGATCATGCTGGAAGCAGAAGTACCAAACTGAATGTGCAATGACTCCTTCTGCAAAAGAGGCCAGAATCCTCTTCCCCGCTCCTTTCTCGCATATTCCCTCCTCCAAGATGCTGAGCCTCCCTCATGTTGATCTCTGTCTGTCTGATTGGTTAGATACGGCTGCCCTAGGCGAATGGTGTCAGGTGGAGAGCAGAGCACGCTTCCCGCGGAAGGGGACAACTCGAGGTGCTGGTACATTTCTCTTGTTTTCTATGTTCTTCTTTCTAGTAGGTCTCGTGTAGAGATAGAGATATTTTTGTTTTAGAGATTCCAAAGTATATATTTTTAGTGTAAGAAATGGACCCTCTCCACCCTCCATGGTGTAAATAGAACCGAGAACAAATGTGTTGTGATAATCCCATAGCAATCTGTGGTAGGAATAGGACCCTCTCCCTTGCCACCAGGTCTCACGGTGTGTGTCTGTGAACCAGGGGAGGTGATTGTGACACCTCTGCCTGCCCAGACCTTCCTGTGCTCAGTGGGTGAAAAATAAAGTCTGTGTAAACTGTTCACACCTGTGGTATTTTTTGAGCCCGAACCAAGGGGCTGAGCCAAGGCCGGCCAGTTTCAGAAGGTGGGAAAGAGTGAAGGGGGGTCATGAAGGTGGTGGAGAGAGGAGGGAGGGGTGTCTGCTGGGCGTGCGTTAAGCAGGGCACATGCACCTCCTTGGGGTCGACGCCGCGCAGTCCTTGGGGCAGAGCCTCGGAGGGAGGCTCTTAGGGCCCTTTCCCTGGGGACTGCCTAGACTTAGGTTTGGGGTGGGGGACAGGAGAGCAGGAAAAGATAGCCCCCCTTGGAGAAACAACCGGGCTGACGAGAGCGACTGCTAATATTTAAGAACTCTA